GACGTAGAAACGTCTTACATGTAGGCTTAAGCGTAATTTTTTCCTATTTCTTCATTGCTTTGTTCTACCTGTTTATGCTTTTTAATCATAAGAATCTTGGAATATAATGACCAATGCCAGGCCAGACAGTATACAACATGCATGAATGAATTTAATATGCTTAAGTCAGCTTATAAAACATCTTGAAACTGCGGCAGCAAAGCAAAACTGCATTTTTCAGGCACTCTGTCTTCTGTTTTGCTCTAATATAAGAAAAGAGAGCAGTCATGGTTATGGTAATAGAAACAGAAGACGAGTGAAAAAGCTTTGCTTGATTGCTCCATTCCAGAATAAATCAGCTGGCGCTGGATCGAGCTTCCGGAGGGGGCGTGCCCGCGAACAATCAGGAAGCCTACAGTTTCAACGTAATTTCGAAAGTAGGCTTTGCGAATCTCCCGCCAGCATCAATGAGAGATGAAACGGTTGATATTACTGCGCGTCTTATTCTGTCAAAATGTGCGCTTAAAATGGACGTTTAAAATTCATATGATATATTGTATGTACAAAATTGCTTGAACTTATTCTTATAAGGATGATATTGTTTCCGAACCATCCTTATTTTGCTCTATATTGGTTTCTTTTTTGTCCGCGAAAGCACAACGTCTGGAGAGTGGTTAAAAATAATGTTTTCCCAGATTTGGCGGATTTGACCTACTTACAAAACAGACCTGAGAAGGCAAATCACTCCTGTCCACAAAAACATTATATAAATCTAGATCTAATTAAGAATTAAGAATAGTTCGATGTTTACAGTTCTCATAAAAGGCTTGATGATAAATTGGTTTAATTGGTACTTTGAATTGGCTATAAGTTAATAACATAAACAAAGAGTTGTTGTCAGTATCATCCTTCCACTCTCAAGCATCGACCTGGTAAAATAGACATCAAGCATTATTTACTTTGCCAGCTGTTTGGATTAACAGCGCCAAAAAAAAAAAAAAAAAAAAAAAAGGCTTTACGTCCGACAGGCTCGGAGGTCACAAGCCCTGACTTTATTGTGAATTGTGATTATGTCATGGTCATATGCTTTGAGTTAGAGAAGAAAGGATCCCAGACGTCTGAAAACGTTTCCTTTCAGTCTTATTAATATTTTAAAAAAATATATAATAAAGATATTCTTAACACGTGAACAAGAAAAAAATATAAAAAAATAATCGAAATTATCGCCGAGGCCACCCGTAGGCCTACTTCAACAGCGAAAGTGATCATGGTTTGCTGTACAAAATTATTTGTGTAATTGAACAATAAGAAGCCTCTTTTCTGTATGTCTCATATATGCCATGCATTGACATAGTTCAGCAGAGATTAAAGCTCGAGTGTAAGATAAAACTTAAAAACTGGTCGAGATATTACAAAGTACAAAATAAGCAAACATAGGACGGATGGAATGTATAAAAATATCACAACTTTGATCATCTTGATGAAAGTACGAACATACAGTTTTCCTTTGAGAAAATACAATGACCCGTTCCTCTGTATATAATAGCTAAACTGTAGGAAAGCCGCTGACGAAACAATCTAGAGCAAGGCAATTTTTTTCTCGAAAAAACCCCCAAACATAACAAACCCCGTTCAAGAAGTCCTGCAATAGAAGAAAGAATGTAAGCGCGCAAAAACGCAGGGCCCTTACCCTTAAAATGACGAAGAAAGGAAGATCGCGTAAAACAAAAAGTAACTGAACAAACATTGGCGGAAAAAGGCAACAATAACAGTGAGAATTAAATTTGAGGACGACAGAGGGAGGTGAGTGGCAGGCCCAGACATGAGACACGTTGATCAAACTTCGAGTTTTGCCTAGGCCTAGCCTATTTGGCTTGAGTCAATAAAAAAATCTGGAGTGTCGGTGAATTCGGTGGATGATCGTTTGGTTTGGTTGGTTATGGTTGTTTATTCCCTCGGTAGTGAGAGTCGTATAGAAATGTTCTGAAAATGGTTCGGACAAGACATAGTGGTGATGGCGAGGAGGAATGCTCTCCTAAGTTTTTATCTCTTAGGAACGAGAGGAACCGTCATGGAATAAAGAGCACAGAGGTAAGCAAAACGATACAAAACTTGGCGGAACACCCTTGGGGTCTTTTTTTCTGCCTCTTTCATTGCAACCGTTTTACGCGCCTTGGTTGAACCAGTATAACCAAAGTCTTAATTTTACTAGATGTTTGTTGCTTTAGTACGATTCTAAAGCTTTCGTACTTTTTGATTTGGATAATTTATTGCTCAGCTGATGGCAGTGCCTCCATATTGTACGAAAACATTTTCGCGGTGTCTGACGTTTCTTTGTCTGTTGACCAACGGTGTCTCAGTACTACAGTACATGATGACATGCTGACCCACCAACCTCTTTCTCTGAAGTGAATGACCTCCCTTTCTACTTTCGATCGTGTCCAGTTGATACTTTGGTGTTCAATACATTGCGCGTGGGACATTCGTTTACAGTTTATGGCAAGATTTTGTCGGCTGAATTAGATCTAGGCTACTCTTTGCCAAGATCTAGATTTTCTACTTGAACCATGCTTCCTGTGGTTGGTTCGAATCTAGATTCTAGATCTATACTCTAGATCTAGATTTCTAGATCTAGATCTAGAGAGAAATTCTAGATTTCTGATTCGAAGTGTATAGATCTAGATCTAATCTAGATCTAGATCTAGATTAGATCTAGATCTAGATCTAGATCTAGATCTACAGACCCGGTAACCGGGAACAAAGTCACGTCCACAAGTATACATAGAAATCTAGAATCTACGGTGCTTTTTCGGTAGTTCCCACCCCCTTGTGGTAAAATTCAGGGGGGGGATCTAGATCTAGATCTAGATCTAGGTGCTTTTTTGGTAGTTCCCATTCCCACCCCCTTATTTGAGCCTAGAGATCTACATCTAGATCTAGACTGAACCCCCCCCCACTCTTGGGGCCAATTGGGGGGTGGGAACTACCCAAAAAAGCGCCCAATAATTTATATTTCGGAGTGTCTACTCTACGTAGGCCTACAAGGTAACCGGGCACCTAGCCTCGGTGTCTACGTACACGCACGGTAACCGGCAACCGGCAACCGGGCACGTATTCTCAGTGTCATGCACACGGTAACCAGGCATGTATTGTAGTGTAGCCTCAATATCTACAGTCTACATACATGGTAACCGGCAACCGGGCATGTAGTCTCAGTGTCACCAGAGCCAGAGACTATATAGAATCTATATAACGAAGTGACTATTCGGACTTGAAAATATGTTTTTTGGACTTCCTGTGACTCTTGACTCCGGCTTCCTGTCCTGCCTCACTCGTGATTCGCCTCAGGCTGGGTAGAGACCTTGATCACTTCGGGCAAAATGGCGTTTTGTGCAGGAGCCGAGTTTTTATCTTATGATGAATTTGAGGCCGGCCTGAAAAGTTATAGCGCTTCTAATAAATGTTTATTTGTCAAGAGGTCATCAGAAGCAATTAAAGATGGCTTGTTAGCGTGTGTCGGATGGGCGGCCTGCACACGTTTGGCTGTGTGCGCGTCGGGGTGGGGGGTGGGGCACTTTCGGTCCGGGCGTTGAACGTCGCATACACGTCAGTCTTTTTTCCCCCGGCAACTGATCATTATTACAATAATAAGCTAGTCTTGACGTAGATCTACGTAATGAATTGTGCGCTGGTCTATGCAATCAAAAGTTGCTGTATGCTGAGCTCTACACAGCAACACAACTTTTTCTTGGTAAACAATCAAGATGACACAGGCTTGTGTATTTAAACGAATCAGTCTTTTTTTTTTTACACAGCTCATAATATGCAGGTGCCAGGTGGTCTGCTAATCTTCAATTTTACCTTTTTCTACAACAAAGAATGTGGGAAACGTGGGAGGGCGTATCAATGAGGCGGCGGGCATCGGATCAGCAGAAAAGGTGTGGGGGAAACTAAAAAATGGCGGAAAATTTGAAGCACTGAACGAAGACTCTTCCTTTTTTCCGGACCCGAGTCCGAATAACATTTGTTCATATTCAGACTCGAGTCCGAATAAGCCGAATAAAGACGGCCTATATATAATTAAATACTCTCTGGTGTCACGTACACGGTAACCGGGCAGTTCAGAACTCCCAAGCCCAAGTTCAGTTTTTTTCATCCGGTGTTGCCTTCATCCCCACCCCTCCCCAGACTGTACTTTTTAAAAAAATCAATCCCCACCCTCATTCCGGAGCCCTATAGCCCTATAGGCCCTACTTCGCAGCGCACAAACTTTGAATGAACTTTGGTGACCCCAGCTGGTACTCACAATGTGATGCATACGCACAGGCCCCTCCCACTGTTGACCAATTACAATAGCTACCAATTTTCAGCTGCTGGTGAGCTAAGCATGTGATCCCTCATAACCCATAAGCCCCGCCCAGAACTCATACACAAATTGTACGCGAAATGAGTGGTCACTGTTTACCCAGTCTGCAACAAAGTAATTGACAATGGGTGGCCGTCTTACACAGGTTTGACTGTATATATATATATACGGCCACCCATTGTCAAGGAGAAAAGTGGCCGTATAAGACAGGTGGCTGTCTTAGGCAGGACTGATCAAGATGAAGAAAACAAACCACTCCCATCTGAGGTCCCAATCGAAATTAGCCGCATTGTTGTTTTTGTTGTTGGTTTGTATTTTGTTGCTGATTTTGCTCATGGGAGACAATAAAACGAAATTTGTATCAGACAAGGAAAACCGAATGCCATGTTAAAACAAACACACAGGTTGCCACTACTCGGAGAACGAGCGACGCTTCTGTCACAAGTTCATGTAGACATCTTTTGTTACTTTGTTACAGACTGGGTAAACAGTGACCACTCATCTCACTTACGATTTGTGTATGTATATGAGTTCTGGGCGGGGCTTAACTTATGGGTTATGAGGGATCACATGCTTACCTCACCAGCAGCTGAAAATTGGTAGCTATTGGTCGACAGTGGGAGGGGCCTACGCAACATGATCAGTTGGAGGGACTACCTAACAACGACAGGTGATTGAATTATGACAGCTCGTCCACATCGCCAGGGGCCAATGCACAATTTATGACAAAAAAACATAACGGAGTCACTAAGGTGGCCGTCTAAGACAGGTGTTATTGCTTAGTGTGAAGGGGTTGTGTGTTAAATTATGGTGGCCGCAGCCGCGTTGGACAGGTGCCCGTTTTACACAGTTAAATTATATAGAAAAAATGCAAGAGGGGAAATGGAAAGTGACCATTTGTACAGGTGGCCGTCTTATAGAGGTGGCCGTCAGGGCAGGTTTGACTGTATATATATGTATATATATATTTTACTAGCATTGGAAGGATGACATTGGTTGATTGTGGTTATTACACTGATGAATGGGACTAAGGGTAGAAACATAGGAGGATCAATAGTTTCTCTTTTAAAAAAATGTCAAATGGAGGTCCAATCTATGAGGTGCAAGCACTGATGTAATTGCTGATGCATGATACCATATTTGTGATTTTTAGAGGCAGGATAGCACTTAAGAAGTGTTAAATTTTGACCACTGCTTGCTGACCGCACAGGAGACCCTTGATCCCACTGGCTGGGCCACTGGAACCCCTGTTTCATATTCATTGTCTCCTTTTTTTTGCAGGGCAAAGAAGATGGTCAACATCCAACACTGTCCTATAGGGGAGGGAGACATGCTTACAATGTATTTGAAGACAAAGTTGTGGAATCACGCCTACGGCCTCGTGTAGGGCCGAGGTAAGTCTGACCATATAATATATAAGGCCGAGTCATTGTCATTGCGTTTGTGCATCAATCAAGAAAAGCTCTACAGAGTGTCCAAAAAGTCGCGCACCATCCTAAAAATCTGGGTTTTTTCTCTGTCCATGCTCTCTTGACGAATTGAAAGATACAATCACAAATCCATCCAGATACCCTAAGGACCAAGGAAAGTTAAAAACAGCTAATTGCGAAGAGTAGAGAGTTGTATTAAAATGAAAATGGTGCTCAATTTGAGTCTCTGTAACAATAAATGTGTTTCAGGATTGTGAGCGACAACAATAAGTGTGTTTCAGGATGCAACAATAAGTGTGTTTCAGGATGCAACAATAAGTGTGTTTCAGGATGCAACAATAAGTGTGCTTCAGGACGGTGCACGGCGACTTTTTGGACACCCTGTATATAGATCCCAAGCCCTATTGTGTATTTGGTAGTATATTTAAAGGAATGGGATATCAGCATAGTATTTTTCAGTCTCAGAATTTTATATGAAGTTCTGGGGTTTTTTTTTCTGTATAAATTTTTTAACGGTTTTATTGGGGGGTGTATCTTTGTTGGGTTTTGGGTTGTTGTTTTTTTTAGTCACATGATGTGACTATAATGCCAGTGTGGCATAACTCTTGTTTTTAGATGGAAAGGCATCTGTTCGGCAGGGTGAACAGCAGTATTCAGTATTATAATGTAGACTTTTAAGTAGAAGTTTTAATTTATCCTATGTTTTTTGTTTTTCAGCCATGCCTATAATTATTTGGATGCAGACTCTTCTGATGATGGTGAGTTTGAAGATTTATCATTTTCAATTAACTGCTACTTTTCAAAATGATGAAATGTTCAATTTTAAAAAAACCGTGTTCAGGCTTCAGCAGTAGCATATAACATTAATGGACTGTGTGTAGTTTCCTCACTGCCAACTCTTTGAAAGACACAGTTTGCAGCAGTTGACATAAAAATATGTTTCATTATTTTCTCTTTTTATCGATTGTGCCGTATGAAAATCAAGTCAACTTAAGCATTAGCTTTAATTTTGATGAATTGCTGTTGTTTCTTGTGCTTATTTTTTTGGAAAAACACTATGTCAATGTTTGTAATTATGTTCGATTTTATTTTATATGAATATGTTGACATTTTCTGTCTTTGGTCTCTGAAGGGAGGGTGCTTGGTGCTTTTTTTCCCCACATCGTTATGAACAGTACATTGTTTTTTTCCTAAGAACATGCTTCCTAAAAGCCTGCTTTTGCCACGTGATAGGATTCTTTCTCTTTTTATCTTCTTGTTTAAAAATCTTTCTCTAAGAATTAAGTCCATTTAAAGACCTGCTGATTTGGTTTGGTAACAATAAAACATGAAGTAGTTGTTTGAGATGAACTGCACACTCTGAAAATGTCATTTCAGCACAATTTTTTTGTTGTCTTCCCAGTATCCCAAGTTTTTGGGTGACGACCTGAACTGTTCTAGTATTTAATTTCTGTGTTTTCCCTCTCTCATAATTCTTTATCCCTTAAGTTTATGTTGTATTATCAGTTGTGCTCTATTCACAAGTTGCTAGTTTCGAATTTTGTAACTTTTGGGAACTGTAACTTGTGTTGCAGATTCGTACAGACACAGTCGTCGTCAGCCCATGCATGAGATGATGTCTTCTCGACGGCGGTCGCGCTACAGCCGATCGCATGATATTAAGCAGGAGTTGCTGGAAGAACACCAGGTGAGGTCTGAGCGAAGGCAGCGCAGGAGAATGTCTGCCCCTGCGGAGGAGAGTCAAGATCACTCAGTGACCGATGATGACGATGAACACACAGAATCCATGAGGCGTAAGAGTTCTCGAACAAAAAGACAGGCAAGGCGAATTTTTTTTAAACTTCTGGTCAAGGCTTTATTTCCTCATCAATTCGGTTTGACACCACTATTTCCTTTCTTCGTCTCTGTTTCCAGTTGTATTTAACAGTCTTATTTTTTAGCAGTTTTTATCTGTCAGTGCTTCCACTCTTCCGTATTTTTACGGAAATCCGTACTTTCTGCCACCATACTTGTTCCTCCACCGACATTCTGTAGCAAAAGATCCGTACATACCTTCGTATCGTCTAGTACTAGTATAAGTTACGGTAATTCTCTCGGCAATAAGTTAATGTTATAGAGACCTGCCAGATTGCACATTTCCTGCAATCAGCCTTTATTCCGTTATGCCCCATACATTCATTGCGGGTTTGTCGGGAGTACATTTTTACTTGTAGATTGATCAAAATCTGGCAAACTTTTTGTGCCAATTTCCTCCTTTCTATCATTCACTCATTCCGTATGTCTATCTTCGGATTGTTGCTGCGGCTGGAAAATCTGCGCGTTGATTAAGTAAATTGACTAGTGATCTTAGACAGAAAAGTACTTTCAGAAAGAAACCTTTTTCAAATTTGTCTAGATTTTGATAAATTATCAATGTGAAGATTCTGCGGCACGAGAACACGATAAGGTCAAGGGCCGTGATGAAAGAAATTTATCCTTAAACTTAATAGAATCAAGAATAATTCGAAGTGGTGGTCTGAGGTTCTGACATATTCATTATTCCCAGGTTTGCCCTCTATCAATGGAGCGATGCCAAATTAATTGAATTAAAGTAGCACTGGAGGGGGAACCTGCTTTTAAACATTGCCATCAATGGATATATATATTGTGTAGATCTTGGTGAAGAAATCAAACAAGACAAAATGTTGGTGAAAAAATAAATGTTATGGTTTGTAGGCAATCTCTGCAAACTGGCTCCCAAATGCCATTTTCAACCCTCTAAAAGCACCCTGAACCCCCCACCTATACGGCACCCAGACCCCCGGCAGAATTGTCCTTACTTTCAGCTTCAGCTGGTGGAAGCCCTGATCTGCTCTCATGGACACTCAAAGCTTTGTCCTTGTTCCTGTAGAATTTATTTCAGTTTAGTAGTTCTGTTTTGTTGAGATTCTCTTCATCTTTTTCTTCTAAAAATTGCCAAAATTAACCACAGTGTTGAGGTATTTTTTTTCAAACTTCTCATAAATAGAGAAAGGTTTATTTTGACATGTGCTGCAGTTGTTGTGACACGAGTCATGTAAAAGGTAAATGTTTCATTTTTTCCTTTTGTACTTCTGTATGTTCAGATTTATAACAAGTTGAACCAGTCGTATCTGGTGAGCCCTCCAGCCCAGGAGAAGGACGTCGATGAGCACATGGACCAGTCTGACTTGAAGGACCAGGATTCAGAAGACAACCAGGTGAAGCCTTTTCTTCCGGATTTACATTCCATAATTTTTTCGGGGTGTCATGGGTGCAAGTCTATTTGAGTGTGGAAAGTTTCTTTGGGTGAATTTTGTGCTTGGATGGTACAACAAAGAAATGTTTTGTACTTTATTTTGCATACAGCTTAGATGATTTGAAGAGAGACACGCAAGAAAATTTTCGTCCCCCTGGGGAATCAAACTGGGGTGTCTCCTGACAGACAGCGGTACCTTAGCTGTGTTAGCTCACATTTAGATAAGTAAGTGACCCCTGTTCTGCGTGTCTCTTCTTCTAGATACAAATAGGCTCTTGGTATGGTTTGCCAATAATGCTATAAATGCAATCGGCAGTTTTTTCCTTTTCCCTGTCCTTTTCTTTTTTGTCAGTTCTGAGGTAAAAGTCCTCCATCAGTTTTGCCACGGACTGACTTTCTGTTTCAGTGGCTGTCCTCTTTTCCATGATCGATTTGAAAATTCTCAGATCAAAGACTTTGTCATAGGTGTTGCATCCAGATTGGACAAAAGCAGGGGGTCAGCTCAGTCCTCGGTTTGAATTTACTAGTGAATGTTTAAACTTGACAATTCAGCACATCAAGATTTCGTATTGACAGTTCAGCACATCAAGATTTCGTATTCACTTATTTTGTGCAAAAGTTTACTAATTATATGTGATAACCATGCTGTTTTATATTGGCATGGTAGGTCCGGATGAATCTGGCTTTCAGTCTTCAGCAGATTGAAATCCACAGGGATCCTTAATTTCATAGAGGTTTTCAAAAAAAAAATTTCTGGTCTTCAGCAGTTTTCAGACATGTACAGCAGAGTGAAAAGGAAACGTGTGCAAGTCAAGAGGAACATGTATGGAGTGCCCATAAATGATGATTCTGACTCTGAGCAAGGTTTGTATGTCTATGTATTTAACCTTTGAAAATATTTATTGTTGTGCCATAATTTATATAAATTAGTTTGTCATGCTTTCTATTTCGTTTAAGGTAAAGAAATTAATTTTTCTCCCGGGCCCACTGTCCAGGACCTGAAGAAAGACCACTGAAATTTTCATTGGTATAGATGATGAGCTGTAGAAGTTATTCATAATTAATAATTTTATAATGTCTGATTTGCAGCAGCTGATGTGAAGGTTAATGCTGGGGCACAGACGGCTGGTTGGGGGGGGGGGATTAGATAGTGTACGGGGTTAAGCTTTGTTTCTGCTAATAAAAAGTATGTTTAGTATTCCTGTGAACTGTTTGTTGATTGCGCATGAATTGCTAATGAAGAATCCAACATGTAAAAATCTCTTTTGAAATGCATGTGAGAACGTTAGAATTGTTTTGTTAAAAGTCAAATACATATGTGTTTGGTACCCTGGCCCTTTCAAAGCCAGTGTCTTGCTGAGTAGCCCACCTTTTTTTCTGCTTTTGATTCTTTAGAGTTTGTTCTTCCAAACTGTTAGCCTTCTTGTCCTATGAGCACATCATTGTTTAAACAATTTCTTTATCTTAATTTGTTCTTCTTTCCTGAATGACTATTGGTCTCGATATAGTCCTAAAGAGAGAACTGTCTTTTATTCTTTACAGTGATAGAAATCATAAATGCCAGTGGGGCGGATCATGTCCTGGACAGATATTAATAGTCTGGGGGAAAAAATTATGTTTTGTTTTCTTTTATTTCAGGAGATGATAAAGAAAGGAACAGGAATGATAACAGTAAAGATGATGAGGAAGAGGAAGGTGATGATGACGATGAAAGGGAGGAGGGTGAGGAGAATGGGGACAACAGTGTTGGTTCCCGGCGTTCTTCTAAGAGGCTGAGTGGAGGGAAAAGAGAGAGAGAGCAGCCAGTGGTGAAGCAGTACTCTCTACGGGAGCACAAGCCTAGGACAGATCTGTACAAGGCTCCTGTTGAAGGTAGTTCTCCTTCTCTCACTTTTGACAGGGCTTTATTTTCACCTTTTTGTAGATTTTGCATTATTCACAGCATAAGTTGGTTGATGAAGCTGTTCAAACATGATTTTTATGGCAACATCTGCATAACTGTCTTTTGTTTTTAATTGGGGGGGGGGGGGAGAGTTCATTCTGTTCTTTTATTTTTTTTGGCTAAACATGCTGCAAGACTATGAAGAGACAATTTTTTTCCATCTGCAATTTTTCAGTGTGTGGTTAGAGAGGCAAATTTACTTCCATTAACTGTTTTGTCTGTCTAAAGTCATGTCACAGAGTTATCCTGATGCAGTTGGTACAATTGTGACTGTAGTCATGGGTAAATTATGACATCAATAATAGTAATACTGATACTGAAACTATCCGTTGATTTTATGGAATAAATGCTGCAGCTATTCCTCTGAAATATGCATTTTTATTTTTATCTTGCAGAGAGAAAAATCCGTAGGACTGATCACTCCATTTTTGCATCAACGCCAACCAAGAAGAGTACAAATCAGACGTATCAGTCTCCTGCCCAGAGGAGAAACAAAAGGTCAGTGGAGGAAAGTCCGTTTGTGAAGGACATACCTAGACCTGCATGTTTGCCGACAATCGTCTGAAATCCGACAATCGCGACCCGACCCGCGAACCGGCCGATGCTATCGCTAGGCCCGGCTGTATCAGTCAATTCAATGTGCGTAGTGCGAGGCTTGGCCGACTGCCAGCGACCCCTTTTTCTCCCGTCGGCTTCGTCGGCACTTTCGTTTTCGTGCCGGCCGCTGACGCGTGCACCGCCGACGTCGGCGTTTCCGACATAATTGTCGGAACCTAAGTAGAAATGCGAATACGAAAAAGGACGACAACCTAAATTATCTACTTTCAGTTTCGTGCTCGAGCGGCCATTTTGAATTTCGTTTGTTGACTAATTCAATTGTTCAGATCGTGTGGCTTCATTCAAGTCCGACTCTCTTGTTCTAATACTAATAGAATCTAGATCTATATCTAGATCTAGATTTATATAGATATAGATCATTATAGACCTCAATGGAGGATTCATATTCCAATTCTATTATGTCAAACCCTATCATAGGTTGTGCTGTAATATTAATATTGGTAAAAATAAGCATTTCATCAGGTGCGTGAATTATTTATTTATTTAGATCTAGATATATCTAGATCTAGATTATCTAGATCTAGATCTAGATTTTATTTTTATGCTCCTTGTTTGTTTTGGAGTGTGGTTTTTTTTATTTTTATTTTTTTTTCATTTAGGACTTGTTTTGGCCTTTTTACATGAGTCCCGTTGCAGGTTCTTTTTGGGGGTAGGGTTAGGTCTCTTCTTTATATTCTGTTTGTTGGGGTGGTCGCTCGTTACTCGGATGTCCTTCCTTATGACACCCACAAAGGCTTTCTTTTTGTGGAGGGGGGGGGGGGGGGTTTGCGCAAAATTTTCAGACAATCTGGTTGAGGCTCACATGCAGGTCTACATACCCTTTTTCACTGTGTTGTGTTTGACTTTGAATGTTTAAAAGACTTTACAATTGCTGTCTCTTGAGCTGTCCTGCTCAGTACTTTTTTTTTTTTGTAAACAAGGAAACTACTTTTGGATCAACTTTGTCTTAAAATAGTTTTGTTGGATTTTTTTTCAACAGAGCGTAGGCCATCAACAAGTCTCTCTAAAGATGTCTTTATCAGAGAATCAACGTCTAGATTAATCCGGAAATCTGGATTTCTAGAATTATCCGGTTATTGCGCTTTATGTCAAGTACACCATTTTTCAGCTTGATGTAGTCCACTAACCCTGTATGGTAATATTTAGCTGTAAGAGAATGCTTTTTATGCATAAATAGCTCAGGACTTGAAATACAGTTGCAAAGTGCTGACAGGGTTACATGGTTTTAAGTTTCTCTCTCACTTTAGTCATTAGAAATGTTTTCCTTTTAGTTTAGTGCCAATAGATTTCTACAATAAGCTGATTGACTGCGCTCTGTGGGTCTTTTGCTCTGTTGTCATGACATGAAAGTGAATGCTAAGTCTTTTCTTTTTGCTTCATTTTCTCATGTAAAGTGAGGATGGCAGGACAACTGAATATGGTGTTATTATGCATTAACAATCTGTTGATGATGATCCTGAGAAGTTTCATAGACTCATTGTGGCCCTTGTATTATCATGAGGGGGAGGGCATCATGGTACTAACTAGAACGAAGTCTTCACATTATCAGAGTTGACATGTGGGTGGTTGGCAGGTGCTCTGGTGTGGTTTGTTCCTTCTTTCCAATCAAGCATCTGTGGTCCTTATCTCCCCTTCTTCTTTTTTGTGTATGTTACTCTCTTGTAACACATAATCTATTCTTCGGCACTTAAATGACCTTATTGTGTTGCAAGTGCCGTAAAACTTATTAAAACTAAAAAAGAGCTGACATGAATATTTGATGACTAGATCTAGTAAGCATATAAGCTGGGACATCCTGTAGGGTTTTTTTGGGGTTTTTTTTTGTGGTTTTGTTGTGAACTTGAGATGTTATCCCAGTATTTCCATGAGTGGTTGGAGAGGGCCACGGGAAGGTATTCTTTCCTTTCCTTTTGTTGCTTTTGTTGTGTGTCCTTCTTTTTCTCTGCCCTAAAAAATAACCATTGTCCTGTCGATGTGCTTGTCATTACTAAAAACTCCCCAAAACTCCAGCACTTCCTTCACTTGAGCTGACACCAATTTTCACAGAAAACGCTCAGCATTCCACTCTGACTCCAGCTCCACTTCCTCATCTGACAGTGAGAGTAGTGATGAAAAGAAATTCAAACACAGAAAAAACAAGAGTATGGCCAAGGCAAGGAGCAGGTAATACAGAACACTTCTTAGTGGCATGATATTTATAGAAATTTATTTGAAACCATTTGGTAGTACAGGTTGGCATATATTTGTTGATTGCTTGGGAACAAAGGAATCGTATGAATTTATTTGCCATATGATATGTGTTCGTGTATTCACCTCCTACTGGGAGACTGGACGTATGCCTGTCAAAGAGGAAATCTGATTGTATTTATTGAGTGGAATATTTTGAATGTGATCAGGAACTTTCCTTTCTTGAAATTTCATTTTGAAGATTCTTCAAAACTGTACTTAATGTCTTTGTTAGATACATGCCTCTTACCAAAGATAGTAAATAACAAGATGGGCCACTCAGCCAAAAAAGTGTCCGCAGGAAGTTCGCTCTTTGCTTCAGATGGCGCTGCAGTCTGTTTTGAAGCTCTCTTTCGTTTTTCCAGAAGAAGAATAGGAATAGCACCTCCTTGCGTGCGCAGATTGACTGCTGTTCATCAGAAGTTCGGGTTCGTTCAGTGCGGAGTTTTAGGTTTTTTTATTTTAATGACCTCTCGCCTTTCATTCTTAAGTCAAATTAAATGAAGAAAACAATCACCCTTTCCTCTGGAAGAGGTTTTTTGTCAGCGTAACCATTAAAAAAAAGCGTTCTTCCGAAATTCATTAAAAAACTTGCTAGTTTCATTTGGATTTTTTTAACTCAAGTAGGATAACTGTTCGCAAAGGGTGCGCCTTTTGCGGAGAGGGCGCCACCGAATTTTGAGGACACTTTTTTAATTGGCTCAAAGAGAGAAGTGGCCCCTCTTGTTATGTAGACTCTTTGCTCTTACTAATACTGTGCACTATATGATTATTCTCATGCTTTTTGTTCCATTTCAGGTTGATGCCTATGAATTTTTCATCAAATGCCTTGCCCCCAGCGGGAGTCATCAAGGATAGAGTCAAGTCAGGCGCCAGTCTGGCTGATGTGGAGCCAATGAATATTGACAGAAATGTATGTACAAGCTCCTGGCCCTATTTTATTTGTATACCAACCAGTATTCTGTTCCTACTTAATTTGCTTTCCAGTCAACCCAATGCAGTGATATACAATACCTTTTACATGTATTCAGATTTTGATTTTGCCAAGTGGCTTTTCTATTGCTGAGCAGCCATCCTTTTGTTATAAGCCTTTAATGGGGTTTGTTTTGGGGGGGGGGGGGGTAAGTGTTTCACGGCGCTTGCAACTGCATAAGGTCAAATATGAGCGTGCGGGACATTTAACTATTTTTAGTTGGGGGGGGTGTTGGTTCAAGTGACACCCACCTGCTCCCAGCCCTCTTACAAGCAAGTTTTTTTGTGTATTAAGACGCATCTGGTCTCCAGCCTGAACTTGGTTGTCAGAGGGTTTTGCGTTTAATAAAAAGTTTTTTTAAATCATTTGTGTGGCATTGTGGTGAAATCAGGTACTTTTCAAAATAAGGAAATTGAAGAAATACATTTTTTCACCTGTTAATTTGGCTTAATAACTTTAATGTCCATTTAAAATACTTTTCTGTGTGAATTTCACTGAAAACCATTAATCAACAGGGCATGTGAAATTACAGTTTCCGTGTCACCAACATTTGGCAGCTATTTTCCCGCTAATTTTACCTCTGACACCAGGCGACCCCCATCTCCTTCAATAAAAGATATCTTTGGCTTCTAAAATAGATGCTTATTTTTCTTCCTTAAAAATTGGAGACAAATTAACAAGCTTTAAAATGATACCAATAATTCCATATGCCTAAACGCTGACAAGGGCCTTGATTCCATCGTATCCTCACACAAATACTTTTGTTTCCCTAAAAATGTAGCAGGTTTTGTGGAGATGGAGGATAGAGATTAGAGTGAATTGGCTATATTGAAAAGCAATTCACAGTACTTTTTTATCACCCAGTTACTTTAAATTACGGTTTGTTTTTTATGTGTTCCTGAATATTTTAGGGCATCAAGTGTCAGTTAGATTTTTCCAGAATTCAGTATCAGTCATATTTACTTAAAATGTTATGAGTTGTAGCTGATAGAACGCCTTCTCTTTTGTTCATGATTTCATGCAAATGTGTGTGATTTCACCATTACTGCCAGTGAAATAAAACTCTAAATTGTCTGTCTTTAGGTGACATTCAACAGCATTGGAGGTCTGGGTAAACACATCCGTGCTTTGAAAGAGATGGTAGTGTTCCCACTTCTTTATGACAAGGTTTTCCAACGCTTCAAAGTGGATCCGCCTAGAGGTGTGCTGTTCTATGGACCACCAGGTAGGTTCAGCCTCTGGACTGTTGAAAGCTTTATGGATATGGTCTGTTTTCAACAATTTCTGACCGTTGTAATTGTAATAAAAGCATTTTAATCTAGTTTCCTCTGCTGGTTGCAGAATTTATAGATATGCTTTTCTTTGGATGAATGTGGAATTCACATTAGATTTTATTTTGATATAACTTTTCAGCTGTAATGGATACTCTGTGCCCAATGCCTGTGGTCAGAGTTTTCATTGTTAGTGTTGACAAAGGGACAGCCCAGTACTGGTTGTACGTATCTCCAACATTGTGGGGGGTGGTTTTATCTGACATGTAGTCTATAGATAGATATGTCTTACCTAGAATTGTCTTGATTAAAATGGATGCAAAATTCAAATTGGTAAGTTATGGAAAAATGGTTTATAGCAAAATGTGTCTTATTGTGGATAAGGGATTATCAGATTTGAGTCTTGTTTTTAATCTGGTTACTCTTATTTCCTGATCAGGCACAGGCAAGACTCTAGTAGCTCGGGCTTTGGCCAATGAGTGTTCCCATGGCGACCGGAAAGTGGCTTTCTTCATGCGTAAAGGTGCTGACTGCTTGAGCAAGTGGGTGGGCGAGTCCGAGAGGCAGCTCAGACTCTTGTTCGATCAGGTAGGAATTGAGCCAATGGTCTATTATCGTTGTACAGTTTGCTCAATGCAATGTTTTTGTAAGTATTTACTACTGTGAATTCAACCAGTGGCAACAGTTAATTTTTCTTTTGCTTTGTTTATACTGGTCCTGTCAGGTTAAAAGAGTAGTGGTGGTGCTTTTATTATTATATGTGAGGCAGCGTGATGAAATCAGGCGCTCATCAAATGATGAAATTGAAGGACCTGGCATTTTGGACTATTTTTATAGAATTTTTAAGTTTTAGCTCAACACCTTTTGTTTCTATTTACTTTTCTGATCCAACAGCTATCTGAGTTCTAGCTCTTCGACTTGTTTTGTTTCCTTTTAAAAAAACATTTCCATGTGGATTTTAATTAAAGGCACAAAAAGTGTAAATTTTCAGTTTCCAAGGACTCTCAAGCTATGGAATTAATTAAACTTCGGCGGCTATTTTCTTGTTAATTTTTTTACCACTGAAACTGGGCTACCCCCATCTTCAATTGCGAATACCCCAAAACTGTACTTCTGTTCATGGTGGATTGGTATTTTTTTAATCGAAAGCAAGAAAAATGAACCAGCCTTTTAAGATGATATCAATATCTCCATATGACCAAAATTTGACAAATGCCTGACTCCTCCGTGTCATGACACATATTCACTTTCTTTTTTTTTAATGTAATGTGAAAGATAAATGATAGTGTTACAAATTTGTCACTGTTAAAAGTTTGTGGAGAAAAGGCCTACGAAAGGTGTATTTTAATTGAAACAATTTTGAAAGAATGCTGAACTTGACCTTTTTCAGGCATACAAGTTCCGTCCCTCTATAATATTCTTTGATGAGATTGATGGCCTGGCCCCAGTGAGATCAAGCCGCCAGGATCAAATCCACAGCTCCATCGTGTCCACCCTGCTGGCCCTCATGGATGGGCTGGATAGCCGGGGGGAGATTGTGGTCATCGGGGCTACCAACAGGATTGACTCCCTCGACCCAGCCCTCAGACGACCAGGACGCTTTGACAGGGAGTTCTTGTTTCCTCTGCCTTCGCTAGAGGTTGGTCTCTCACTCCTTTTATGGACATGCATAGTTGTCAGCCAGAACGGGAAAAAGTATTACATCTGATAGGGCCTACGTTTTTGAGGGTTTGAGTAGGAAGTCCTTTGTTGTTTGAAAAAAAAACTGTCTTGTTTTTCACGTGTTGCTCCTCACAGACTTGCGCTGATGCTGAAATAAAGTGAATAGCTTGAATTAACTGATGGGGAAAAGTGTGAGTGAAAGGTTTGGAGGGGGGTTACTTGACCCGTGGGGGGGGGGAGTTGGTTGGTTTTAGAAAGTTAGTATCTATGGTTATATTGTTTGTCTTTTGAAAGTATATTCATTGAACTGGCGTAAGACTTTGGTGCTGTACTGTTCCATGATTCCTGACCTACACAGAAGTATATAGTGTAAAGCGCATAGAGCTTGCTGTTGAGCAGGGATCTGCGCTATACATATGCTATTTATTATTATATTTCATTTGCATCTCTGGTCTATGGTTGGTTCATGTTGGGGTCTGCTTCTTTCCGATGTTTGTATTGTCCTCATCTTTTTCTTGCTAAACCTGACCATTCATATTGTGATGGAGTCTGGATACAAATTATGACTTCACTATGTAGTGTGGGTGGTTGGTGGGTTGCTTCTTCTTTCCTATCAAACAACTATTCTATCCTCTTTTTCTCCCCTCTTTCTTTTTTGTGTTTGTTACTCTCTTGTAACACCTCTAATCTTCGGCACTTATATGACGTAATTGTGTTGCAAATGCCGTAAAACTCTTACAAAAAAACCCGTTTAGATGCAGTGTGTGTTTCTTGTAAATGAAAGGAGTTTGATATTATGTGGATTTGCTTCTCTGTATTTCTTCTTCCTTTCGATCTAAATGTCAGATTGTCATTTTGTGAATCTCAAGATGGTTTCGTGTGTTTCTATGCCAAATTGACGTTCCATCAGTTTTCATGCAGCGTTCCATTTTTCTAAGAAATCTTTTATCGTTCGCATTTGCGATTTCAAATCCTTCTTAGATAGTAACTGGTTAGGTGGCTTGGTGTGTTTTGTACTGTCTTTTCGTTGTGGTCAGTAATAATGAATTTATAGTCTGAAAAAAAAAGGCATGTAAATATTGATTTTTTTGCTAATTTTCAGGCAAGAACACAGATTCTCAAGATTCACACAGCTTGCTGGACCCCAAAACTGAATGACCATTTCATCTCTCAGTTGGCAGAAAAATGTGTGGGTAAGTGTGATAAGTTAAGTCATTATAACTGTTGCATTAGTGCAATCAATTTTCTGTACAGTTTGTATTAATCTTGTATGTGATTTTTGTTTTTGGCTTGTAAAACATTATGTTGAGGGAATGTGTGACCTTTTGTATGAAGCAGAATATCCTCTATTTATTTACTAAAAATTTTTTTTTTTGGTGTGACATAGAAAGGGGTGTGACTTACTCCTCATGTCATAATATTATGACTTGCTATATTTCCAGGCTACTGTGGTGCTGATCTCAAGGCTCTGTGCACGGAGGCAGCCATGCTAGCCCTGCGCCGACGCTACCCACAGATCTACATCAGCAACGAAGCTTTACAGCTGGATGAGTCCTCCATCAAGGTGTCAGCTAAGGACTTCTTTGAGTAAGTAAACTTTCAGTGACAGCTTGGACAGTATGAATGCTATTTTTATGTTTATTCAAAGTCAATCATGTATATTAAGGTTTAAACTGTTTACTGTCTTGTTTTTGTGGAGAGGGAGAGAGATGTTGAAGTAAGTGTATGTATGTGCAAAGTGCTGTTGCCTGTCTTTATCAGTATTTTTGTTGATAAATGTATTGTCTTAGTGACAGGGGTTTTGTTTTTATTTGACTGAGTTCTGTCTCTCTGTTGACAGTGCGGTGCAGAACATAATCCCTACCTCCCAGCGTGCAGTGAACACCCCAGCACGAGCCCTCAGTGCACGAGTGTGCCCCCTGCTTCAGCGTCAGTTGGATCGAGTCATGTCGCAGCTGGCTGACACCTTCCCTCCTTGCCTGGCTCAGATCTCCTCTCTAGATGCCGCTGGTATGTTGATTGTGATACTACTGATTGTCAGGCCATAACAGTCTCATGATTATTAAATTTAATATGTGGTCTACTGAAATAGCCATAGATAACAGTGCTTGTTTCTTCTGAATTTTTGTATGATATTTCTGCGAAGCATAAACTGTGGCTCTGCAGGGTTTTTTTGGGGGG